TCAGTTTTATCGACGGCTGTAACGCCGCCGAAGATATGGGCGCTTATGGCTATTGCGAGTGCTCTTCGCGACACAACGAGGGTATTATACAAGTGTTTGATATGGCCATCGAGGCTGCCATCAGATCATCCAAGAAGTCTCACAAACTTGATCCACACAAGTCTGCGTGTAGTATATTGTGAGCGTAAGAAATGTTTGTGAAGCAAACATTTGACACAATTATACAGTATTTTACTTACTTTTTTGGCTGTATTTTTATCATTTTAATTTGTTTTGTCACAATTTATTATCTATTTGACTGATATTTAAGATTTCTACCATGTTTTATGGCTTTAACGCTATTTTACTATATGTAATTAAGTGAATATATACAGTATATATTGTTTTGATTACACTTTAAATGTCATTAATATTTTTGTTTTAAAATTGTTTAAAATTTAAATATAAATATTTCATTATAACTTTTTTGTTTTTGTTTTTTGTATAGAGTTTATCGCAAATAAAAAGTTTAATATCAAAATCTGATCCAATTTGCATAACATATGTATAAATATTGATATAAAACATTGAAATAATCATAAAATACATTTATTTCTAATTCAAATACACAACAAAATCCATAACTAATAACTTGAAGAGAGAAAGAAATAGTGGAGAAAGAAAAAACTTAACAAAATAAGCGTTTGTGATATGATTTGTATAATTCATTTGTCCCGTAATATTATATATATAAGTATTTATACATTATATTAATATAACATTATATATAATTATATATCAATTTAAATCATTCGGTCATAAAGTCGTGGTGACAAAGACGAGGGCCAGCGATAGCCATAGCCATACATGGGATGTGGTGTGTAGTGGGGGTCCGGCGCTGTGCGAACCGGCTATACATCCGACGCCCATCTGGTAGTGAGAGCCGGGAATGCAGTGACACTTGAAGTGCTCATTACAGTACCGATTAGTGCCAATCAATTGACATTCGTCTGAATAAATACAGCTATCGTTGAAAACCTCTGTAAATATTTTTGCAAACATTAAATTTCATTACAAACTTCAATACTTTTCGCAAACATTAAATACCCCTAAAAATTGTATTTAATTGCAATCAGTGTTAGTGAGTGAGTGCTGTACCGATTGTATAGCACTTGAAATGAGAAATTTGATTATCAATAATAGCAAAAAATGTATTAAGCTTATTTTTGTAACAATATTTAACTAGTTTTTTGGCAAAAACAATAGTTTAGAAAAATCTGGTTATAAACTAAGTGCAAAATACTACAATAAACAATATGTTTATACCTAAAGCTTTTACCTAATGCATTTATAACTCAAGCCAATTGTTTATAAATTATATATTTTATAAATAAAGTCATTGAAATCTATTAAACTAATGGCCCAACTATTACTAAATTTACCGTACATTGCATTGCATTGTAAACACTTTTATCCAAAAATATAATAATATAAAAGCTGTTGTCAGAGATTTATGAGTGAATTATAAATATGATAATAAAATATTTATAATAAACAACTAAATAAGTTGTAAATATTATATATTTACTAAATATTAATGAAATAATTGATAAAATCTTGAGTGCAGTGAAAATATAAAATCGTATAATAGAAAATTAATTAAATAATTGTGTTATTTATTTTACAGCATATAAAAACTTTCGTAAATAATCAATGGCTTTCATTATTTGACTCGTGATTATAGTGTAAATAATTTTAAAAATGTTTTTAAGCCAAACATTTCCACATAAACTGAATTGAGTTGAAAAAAATCTGAAACTAAATGTTTTTGAGTTAAAGCAGAAAATAGTTGATTAGTTCTGGCATTCAATACGAACTGAAGGCGACATAAAATGTCATTTGAATTTTGAATGCGATTTCATAACTACACACAAAACAAAACCACACAAATCATAGGCAGTAATAAATATTAGAAAAAAACATTAACACATATCAAAAACTACACAACAAAAAGCATAATTGATTTTCAACGGCTCATAAATTAACCAAAGTTTAGTTTCTATTGATTTTAGGCAAACATATTAAGACATAAATTAAATGCAAATAATAGCAACTTCTCAAACATTAAACACAAGCATATATTAAAACACAAAACAAAAATTAAAAATATAATAAATACTCGGTTCGATGCAATATTTGCCGTAAATGGGTATATGTATGGGAACAGCGTTTTTGCCGCACCGGCACTTTCCCTTGTAATTGCAGTGAGCGTTCGCACCGGCCATCCATTGACACTGCGATGAATGCAAACATTTGCCGCCAATGGGTTGGGCTATCAATTGTAAGCATTTGTGTTTTTTCCAATACCATTAGTATTGTTATGCAAAATAATTTGTTTGTTAGTATTGTTTTATGTGTGCGTTTGTTTGTCGGCCCCGTATATACGGTACGGGCCGTCAGACTAACCGGTATGGCATTTGAGGCTCTGGTAAACGGGTTTCTCTCCATTGCAAACGCATCTCCCGTTCAGACAATGATTGCTAACACAAGTGCTGTTCTCATCGCACCCATCGTTTTCGTCGCCCAAACCTGTATATCATATCAATTGTGTGTTTTAATGCAAAACAGACATTCAGTCGCGATGTTAAGGAAAATTGTTGATTAATTTACTTTCATTTGCAAAACCGAGTGAAAAAACAAGACAATAGTTTACATGACAGTGAATATACAATATGTTGTGAATTGTGTACAAAACCAATAGTGAACTGTTGTTTATAGTAAACTCAGTCGAGTGGCTGAACCCGACTGCGAGAGGTTTTGCAGAAGTTTTTGCAAACTTAAAATTATTTGCTAATTTTACTTAATCTTAAACCTTTTGCAAATACTAACAAATATTAATTGCACTTAACTTTACTTAATATTTAATTATAAAATATAAACACAACTAGTAAGTTATTTAATAGTATATACAAATATATTTGCATCCCTGGCCAGCCCTCCCCTGCCGTTTCTTAAAATAATTAATTGTCTGAAAACCATTAAAAGTTGTTTATCTCATGTTTGGGGCAAAAGGACTGACAAATCTCTTAACTAAAATTGATTTGATTTGTTAGCCTCTGGACAGTAAAAATCAATACATTAGTAAATCAATCAATTGTTTATCAATGCATACAATGTATGTTTATAATGAACTAAAATATACAAATACTGTAGGGATCACGACCTTCATTAAAATGGATAGTGATTTATATTGTAAATATATACAAGTCTTGTGGTTTTGTTAAAAGTTTGTAAAACTAACAAATATCTGGCCCTCACTTCAGTCGACCTAAACTTTTACCACAAGTATTACATTAAACACACATCAAAAACAAGGAATTTTTGTTAGTATTATATAATATGCAATAAAAAGTGAAATATATTTTTTTAATCAGTGAATTAGTTGTGTCCACAAAACAAACCAATCGGTAATACCTTTGATATAAATGTAGAAATCCTTTCGCTCGACGACAAACTGGTCACCGGTTGTGCCGTAAGTGGTGTACACTTTATACGCGCTGTAAAAGCCCTGATGTATAGCACTGGCCTCACGGATGCGAATACTGGCCGCACTGCCCGACACTTCCAGCCGCACCCGTGTTGGCTCACCCGCCTGTTGCAAGTGTCGGAGTTGCGGCGGTAACGACACCACCAGCACCGGCACACCCAATGAATCGGTGCTGTGGTTGGATGTGTTGCTGGTGATGGCGGTGGTTGTGGTGAAATTGATCCAGCTCAACTTGTAGTTAGTCCTAGCGTTCACACGTTTGGTGATTAGCGCCGATTCGTTGTAATTATTATTGATATTTTGCACAGAATTAAAGTCATAAAAGCCGTCAATGACTTTGATTTGAAAATAGTTTATTAATATAATGAATGCAATTAGCTTTTTGTGGCTCATGTCAGTGGGCCCGGTGTGTGCTGTCCATCAACGCTATATATTTAGAAATATGCAAAATAACAAAAAAAAGCCAAAATTCAATTAACCAAGATGCAATAAAAATAAACACCGAGTGTTTAATAAACAAGTGTTTATAGCAAACAATATGCAGACAACAAAAAGTTTTAATTATATTTATTCCACTTTTCTCTCTCGCACTCAAACTCGTAGTTAAAAATAATTTTCTAAACAAATTATAATATTAGAGATTCTCTTCTCTCAGCACTTCTTTCACTCACTAAACACTTTACGAGAATTGATAGGCATTTAGGGAGAGAGTGGGAGAGAGAGGGAGAGAGAGGGAGAGTGTGTGTACGTGAAGGAGAGATAGTAAATACAGCAAAAAACAGGAAATATTCTCTCTCCATGAAGTGAAAAAGTTTTGCGAAGACGTGCCCATCGTATTGGTCGGCACCAAACGCGACCTCCGCTCCGACCCTCAAGTGGTGGACAGTTTGCAACGACAACAGCAAAAGCCCATCAGTTTTATCGACGGCTGTAACGCCGCCGAAGATATGGGCGCTTATGGCTATTGCGAGTGCTCTTCGCGACACAACGAGGGTATTATACAAGTGTTTGATATGGCCATCGAGGCTGCCATCAGATC